TTAAATATTCCTTTTTCTTTTTTAATTTTCATAGAAAAATTTTCTTATTTTGATTAACTTTCAAACTAAATTCTAATTTAACACGATGAAGAACAAAACAACAGTAAGAAGAACTAATAATTTTTCTATTTTATTTGCAGTAACTATGGTTTTACATGCTACTTAAATGACTATGGTTTTACATGCTACTTAAATGACTATGGTTTTACATGCTACTTAAATGACTATGGTTTCACATGCTACTTAAATGACTATGGTTTTACATGCTACTTAAATGACTGTGGTTTAACATAACTAATTTTGTAAATAAATGTTTATTTCAGAATAAAAATATTAAGAGTGCTGATACAGTTAAAATCAAACCGTATATGAGTACTGTAACTGTATGCTGTAAATAAATTGATTTTAATTTGTTATAAATTCTTATTATATGCTTTAACATAATGTCATTTTATATAATGTTTTTATTTTAAAACCAAATTTGTCAGTTACACTTAAAATTTTATTAAGTCTTTTAGTAAGTAAAGTTTTTTCGGAAACATTTTAATACTGTTGATCAAAAACAAGAAAATTTGAGTCATTATGAGAATCAAAATAATGATTTTGTGTTTGGCTTCAACTTTAACATCCGTGTTCATAGAAGCAAAATCAGGCTCATTAAATTGGTCTTCTCATTGGCATATTGAAAAAAATTACATATCCTTGCATTACATGTTCAGCTGGAAAACTTGAGCTAAAGTAAAAAATTTGGGGCCTTCTAAAACTTAATGCGTAAAGATTTTAAAAGTCTGGATTTCAATAAGTATTTCATTTTATGGATAATATTGCGCAATTAATATCTTTAATAAAAAATATTAAAGCTAAAAAAATTACTGAACATTCTCAAGCCATAAATTTTATTGAAATTTATATTGATTGGTAATCAATATAAGATAAAAGGTTTTATTGATAACCGAAATAAATAATACTGTACAGCCTGTTGCATTGTATTTTTTGTACAGCCTGTTGCAATGCAAAACACAATTAACGCTCCTTGAATTCATTTCATATATTCAAAAACTAAATGGAACAAATATTGCACACGGTTTGCAATCAATGAGTAGTAAAACAAAGATAATAGAACTTATTGGAAAACAAATTAAACAAAAAATTTGTCAATAAGTTATAAATATTGGCAGAAAGGGGCGACTGATTAAGTGCAAATTTTTTAACAGCGAATTTGCACAAGTGCGAACTGTAATAAGTGCAAACTGGCTTAGTTGCAAACTTGCGTAAGTGCGAATTGTGTGCTGATTGACATAGGTGCGAACGGGTATATTTTCAAAACGATTGCCAATTTGTTATTATGTGCGAATCGACTTAATAGAAAACTAGCATAAGTACACTGAAAGACTTAATAGAAAACTGGCATAAGTGCACTGAAAGAACTTTCAAACATTGGCATAAGTGCGAACTGGCATAAGTTCGCTAAAATAATTTAAAAAGATTGAAGCCAATAAATCACCCAATTCTCATTTTTTCTGGATTTGATCAAATTATCTCACACGTGGCTTAAGCAATACTTATTCAATATGAACGCTCACCCATGGAACGCATTACCTAACGTAGTAGTCAGTGCTACCAGTGTCGATCGCTTCAAAGCAAAATTCGATCAGCTTTAATAATTACAACAGCGCATCATCTTCCGTGCAATTTCGCACGAGCTAGCACGGCTAGCTGTTGATGGGCTTACGGAACACGCCCGCTCCGTGTAATTTAACTTTAACTAACTAACTTAACTAATATCGTAAATTCTAGTAAAACTAGTTTATTATATTGTTTTGTAGTATAAAAATATTTTTTTTATTCAAACATTTTCATTATAATACAAAATTTTTTTTTAGACGTCTCTAAAGTTGAGGACCTTTCTTATCGTCAGATTCGTGTGCTTTCAGACTTCTTAGATCCTGACTATGGGTGGGAAGAATTTGCCCATCACCTTTTTGAACATGACAATGAAATGATAAATGAAATACAAAAGCTTCGTCATGAGTATGCTGGAGGTGGTAACCCTGCATACCTGTTCTTAAAACAATTGCTTCAAAGAAGGCCGAACATACTTTTGAATGAATTTTTGGATGCTTGTAAGGAAGTAAAGAGAGCAGATATCATACACTATGCAAATGAAAATTTTAGTGGAATTAGTTATATCAGCGAATTAGATAAAAACCAACTAAGAGATTTCGCCGATAAGGTACGTGGAAATATAGTTCCAAGTAATTGGGCTGAAATCGCAAGCGAGTTTGGCGAGTTTTCTTCTGAAGATATAAAAAGAATAGAACTTGAAAGGCTGGCTCCAAATAGTTATAGTCCGACGAAAAAATTGTTTGAAAAGCTTAAACAAATTCATCCAAATATGGAGTTAGATAATTTAATAAATGTATGTGAAAAAATCAGGAGGAAAGATGTTGCTAATAAACTTCGTGAATTTGCAATAAATAATAGCAGCATAGCGCAATAGTTATTTTTTTAATGTATTCAAGTTTTTTTATTATTTTTTTGTATTATTTAATAATTTTATTTTTTGAGTTTATTAGGTTTTTATCGGTAGTTAATTATATCTATTCTTTAATTAAATGTTTAAAATGCAAATATTAAAATAAAAAATAATATTTAGTTTTTAGATTTCTTAAACTTTCTCTACAAATTACACTATATATAAATTTTATACGATAATGCATTTTCTAGAGAAGCGTGATGAAAAATATAAAACGTTCGACCTTTCTTTTACTTGTTCAAGTATGGGCTACTATTACACCGCGATCTGTGCATAATCGCATCGGTCTGTGACCTCCCTTCTCAGAACCTAGTAATTTTTTCAGAAATAGTACTTAATAGTATGTAGTAACATTATCGAAATAGTTCATAAGTTTTTCTTCTGTAGGTTTTGAGAAAAAGTGTTAGAATCCCCTATACAAATCGATTTACACGACTATTATTTTGTTTCGTTGAAAATTATCAATAAAAAAACATATTTTTGTATAATTTTTATTTCGGTGTTGTTGGGGCAATTTTAAAATATTATAGTGTCTGTATCACGGCCTTCTATAATAACAGGCCTTGACATCGCACAACTAAGCTGTTTAACTGAAGGCCGATATCTAATACTGTGTTTAAATTTCATTCTTTTAACGTTAGACAAAAGTTTTGCGTTCGCGCTTTTTTAATAAATTTTTGAAATTTGATTGGTTTATAAATAAGATAGCGCAACTTCAAGACGTTTAAATTATCAATTTACAAATTCCCGAAGAATCCAGAGGAGAGAAAAAGATGGAGTAATGCTATCCCAAGAACTGGTTTTACTGTTTCAGACTATACAGCAGTATGTCGACTGCATTGGCCAGATGATGCACCTTTTGAAAGCAAATATGGGAAGCAACAGCCTTTAAATCCACCATCTGTTTTTAAAAATATACCAACTAGTTGTTTACCCACACCAGCAAGTAAAGTTAGAAAAACTGTAACTTCAAGCGGTTTTCGAAACATTCTACCAGATGAGTTAAGTGATTTTCTAAAAGAGGATGAACTTATATTTGACGATATTCAATCTTTGTTAAGTGATAATAACGATGTTATTGTTTTCCAGCTTAATAAAAAAAGTTTACACATACAATAAAAAATGTTCAAACTTGGTGTTCCATTATTTATTTTAGAAATTTTCGATGATTATTCATTTGTAGCTTACCATAATGACACAACTTGTAATATTTCATCTTTAACTGTAAACAAATTAAAGTTAATAAAAACAAAATCAGCTCTATTTGAAGAAGTTAGATTTTAAAAAAATAAAGAAAGTTCGCATCACTCCAATATTTTATTTGAGCACCTTAATGCTATGAGAAAAGTTAATGTTGGTGAAGTTCTATATACTCCAGATACTATATGGAGAGCATATGAGTATTTCGCTATGCGACGAAGTTGATATGATCGTTTATGTATTGACTACAAGTTGCCAAGTATGCGGACTTTAACACAATTGACTTCAAAAATAAGCTCGATGGAGGACCTGAATTTTGTGAATTGTATTTTTATGAATTTAGATCCATTGAAAAGAACTTCCATACTACTAATTGATGAGGTTCATGTTAAAGCTTCATTACTTTACCAAAGAGGTGCTTTGTTTGGTCAAGCAGTAAACTAGCTTTGGAAAACTAACTTTGGCTAAATGGAGTGATTTAAAAACTTTATATAAAACTGAGTGCAATAGTCTTTTTAAACTCTCAAAAGTAACATCTAAATCAGTTTATCCAAAACCAATAGAGAGACAATCTGTAAAGTTTTGTTTGTCTGTTTTTTGCGAAAAAACAGTAGCTGCATTAAGAACACATCCAGAGATTGAAAATAAAGCATTTGAAGGTACTGCTGTATTTATTTAAAAAATTATTTCCTTTTGGAATGTTGTAAATGTCAAAGCACCTTGCGCTGGCATTCGGTTTAGAAATGAATTATGTGGTTTAGAAATGAATTATGTTGGTGATCAATAGTTACAACTGCTACGAAATATTGCTGAACTGTCAAGTTATATGAAACCTACAGGTAAGCGTGTAAAACAGCTTACTCTAGATACTAACAATGCAATAGCGCGTACATGTTATGGCCTAATTGATCTTGTAGAAACTTATTTGAGTAATGGAGCGAAGTATGTTTTATTAGGTTGGTTTACAACAGATCCACTTGAAAAAGTTTTTTCTAAACTTCGACAGGGATGGAGGTACTTACTTTATAAACGCTAAATCTGTAATTGAAAAAATTAATATTCAACATACTAAATTGATATTAAAACTTGACATTGGTCATACTTGTGACATGTTTTAGAGATATTTCTACTAATAAAAAAGAACTGCTGGATAATATACATGATCTTGAAAGCTCAATTAATAAATCTACATTAGTGGCTATAGTTTACATAGCTGGCTATGTGCAAAAAAGCGAAATAAAGGTTCATGATGGCACTAACAATTATTATTATAATTATGGAAGTTATCTGAATAACAGAGGGGACTTGAAATTCCTTCAGATACTCTAGTCCAATGGTCAATATTTTGCTTTTTATTTTTTCAAGGTGCTACTGGCCCTTTATGCAGAACATTTTGTGTTACTCAGTTTCAGTTCATTGCAGCTAAATATAAATTTAAAATCACAAAAAAACAATGCAGAATATATTCTAATATTTTGATAAAGAATTATGCAATAATTCCCACTCCCAGCAGTAGCAAAGAATCTAAAACAAAAGTACTAAAGCTGACATAATTTTTGTGAAAATTAGTTTTGTAATTTATGCTATTTACTTTTTATGTTTTTTATTTCCACTTTAACCTTAATGTCTCTCGACATGTTTGGATTTGTAAATATTTACTTTGTTGAGATACACTGTGTCAAAAAAGTTTTCATCCACCTATCTTGCACATTTTAAAAATGCAATAACTTTTTATTCAGCAAAGATGCAAGCATGATATAAACTAAATTAAATCATTTAAACATTTAAGAAATATTGTACAAAAAAAGTTTTTTAAAGTAATGAGTTACAAATAAAATACAGCATTTTGGAATAAAAGATAGACATCTTTGTCTCAAAAAAGTTTTCATCCACTTTACAAAAATCAAATAAAATTGTCATACGAACTCAATTTATTAGTGTTTTAATAACTTGTGTTTCCACCACGAGCTTTTATTATTTCGTGTAGTCTGTTTTTCATTGAACAAACTAATTTTTTAGTAATTTCTGGAGTGATTAAGCCCCACTCTTTCATAATTACTAATTGGAGTTGTTGTTGATTCCTCACATCGTGGGTCCTAATTCTTCTACCCAATTCATCCCACAGATGTTCAATAGGATTCAAATCTGGAGATTGTGGGGGTGTATGAAGTTGCTTAGCTATTTTAAATATAAGCCATTCCTTGACACGTTTGGCAGTATGTTTTGGATCGTTATCTTGCTGAAAAGTAAATGACCTAGTAAGTCCTAATTTGTGGGCACTTTCTTCCAGATTATTTTTTAGAATGTTTAAATACACATTTTGATCCATATTTCCATCAATGAAAACCAAGTTTCCTACACCTGAAGCACTCATACACCCCCACACTAAAACACTTCCTCCGCCATGCTTCACCGTTGGACACAAGTTTTGTTTTTTAAATGCTTCATTTGGTTTTCTCCAAACTTTAACTCTTCCATCTGATGAAAACACATTAAATTTTGATTCATCGCTGAAAAGGACCGATTCCCAGAATGTTTGTGGTTCATTGATATAAAGTTTTGCAAAGTGTAGTCGTTTGGCTTTGTTGACTTTGCTGATATAGGGCTTTTTCAATGGTACTCTATCATTGTATCCAGCTCTTCTTAAGGTTATTCTAACAGTTTCAGGGTCCACTTTTAAATTGTAATCATTTTGCAGCATTCCAGCGAGTTTTGGAGCACTTATTTTAGGATTCTGGATGACTGTTCTTAATATAGCTTGTCGATGCAATACTTGAATTTTATTTGGACGCCCTGTACGTGACTTATCAGCAATTTTTTTGGTGGTTTGGTATTTCTTAATAATAGACTGCACAGTTGCATGTGATTTCTTTACTATTTTTCCTATATTTCGCTGTGATTTTCCCTCTTTCCATAGTCTAACAATAAGCAATCTAATTTCCTCTGCAACTCTCATTTTTATTAATAATTTAACAAAAATAAAAAATATAAAAAACTCATATAAAAAAAAAAAATACAAAAATCTTACTAAATCTAATTTATATTTTAAAAATGATACTTTAATACTGATTTAATAACAAATTGAGGTTGGACTGCAGGGTGGATGAAAACTTTTTTGGCGCAAAAACAGGCATTGTTTATGTTTAAATGTTGTATTTTAATTTCTATTCAATATTTTGTAAAATCTTTTTATACAATACTTCTTGAATGGTTAACTGATATAATTAAGTTGAAATTATGCCTATATCTTTGCTGAATGTAAAGTTATCACGCCTGAAAGATGTACAGGATAGGTGGATGAAAACTTTTTTGACACAGTGTACATTGATAAAACTTTTTTGCAAGAATCAATTTTTTTTTTTTTAATTGTCGGTGATTTTTGTTATCTTTTATTTTTAGTATATATATATATACTAAAAATAAAAGGTAACAAAAGTATATATATATATATATATATATATATATATATATATATATATATATATATATATATATATATATATATATATATATATATATATATATATATATATATATATATATATATATATATATATATATATATATATATATATATATATATATGTATATATATATATAATTATCTTTCTGATATATAGTTATATATGTTATTATGATTCACAGTAATAAAATGTAATAAAATGCATTCACTGTAATAAATTGTATGTACTAAATTCACTGTAATAAAATGTATGAACTAAAGTGATTTGTTGATTTAAAGTTTTTATACGGTATAGTCTGTA